TAGAAAGGGGAGGGGCAAGATTTTGGAGCAAGAGAGCGGGCAGGGCGCGCTCTTTCGGGGCTCGCCCAACTTTCAGACTGGTGATCATGTTCCGTTTTGATTTTATTTAGAATAGTGCTTCTGTGATGTGCGATGCGGCTCAGCTTTGTTTTGTCCTTTTTTCTGTGTTTCGTTTACGAAGTATCTCAGGGAATTTGATGCGAAAACTAGACCGAGAGAGCGAAAACATCGGGCAGCCAAATCCGCAAGTTTATTTTTGAAAAAAGGGGTTCTCAGTAGTCTGCATTTTGTTGGAGTGTTTGGTTGTCAAGAGCCGTTGGCGGGTATAGTTGTGTACGCGTTCCCTGGGACAGCCCGTGGAAAAAAAAATGTGTGCAAGCCAGCAAAGGTACTGTAGAGCACCAACCTAGAGGAGGAAGCGGATTGCGGCATGACAAGAAACGGAGCTGATTTCGTGGGCCTATATTGGTGCGAAAGCAAGAAGGGGTTTGTAGACCAAATGATGAAAGGGATGTCACCCGGATTGTGCGTGCGCATGCTTGCCCACTGCTTGTTATTTTTTGCGAACGTACGTGGTTCACCAGGCGTCCGGTTTCGCGTCGGAAACAAAGGAGCGTACTGGCGAAACCAAGGAGCGGAAACGTAGACAAGCATGTGCAAAGAAGGTGACCGCAATGATGAGAGGCACAAATACAAACGTCGTACTGTATGTGGCAGAGAAACCCAACAATGATGAACGGAAAAAAAAAAGGTTGGTCCAGCATCGTGCCACTCGGTTCGTCTGGGAATGTGGTGTGTGCGCTCAACCAAAATATCAGCACGAAAATATCAAGATCCCCTTCCAACTGCCCGCATTGTACGAGGTTAGTTGAGGCGGTGATCAGTGCACGAAAAGATTTCGGCCACGCCGCCGCTAACAGAGGTCGTTCGAGTCAACGGCCACCGCCGGGCGTTGGGCTCGGGCTAAGGTCCTTGTTGCACAACCTCGGGGCAGGGATCTTCCTATCCTACAGAGTGGCGTGTTAGTCCGCCGGTCGTATCGGGCAGCACGCCCGTGAGTATGCGTGGCCACGATCAAGGCGGCGTGTGACATACTCGTCACCAAACAGAGGGCCTGCCGCCACCAAAAGTCTAGATTCCCGCGCTGTTTTTAGCCGTATGGGTGTCTTGCTTACGATCCCCGGCACCTTTTCTTCTCAGATACGTCGTCAGTCAATTTCAACTATCACCAGGACGTCGAGATACTCCCAGCAAAAACGCGAATCAGGATGTCCACCACCTACAAACTCCATGCGCGAGGCACGAGAGACGATCGCATCAATTCCCCGCCACATGCGTGTGTGACCAACTAAGTACTGCTTGCATCTACACCCACTTGCTATTATTTTCCCACCAACACTCCTTTTACAACCGCACGCAACACCCGCAGCTTTAGACTGTTGCTTGAATCTAGTGCATGAAATGGCAACCAACGAAATCAGATCCCTACGCATTGGATACTGCCCTGCATGCCTATTCGCCCACGAAGTTGTCTCTCTTGCGCTCGTCCTTCACAAAACAAAAAACGGCTCAATGACTCTGTGCGAAACACGTACTAGTTTGATACAGCTTGGTTGCTCTCCAACAAATCCACAAGAATTTAAAATACGCCATCAAAGATACATGCTGCAGGCTGCTGTGCAGCAATGGCCAAAGAGGACTGTACACGTACTTCGCACGAAGCGTGACCGTACGTAAAGATAGGGTGCGCGAAAGAGTAACCCCTATCTATTTAGTCCCATTCACAAAAAATAGCAGACTAACCTATAATACTCCCTTTTGTCATAGACAGACAGACAGACAGACAGACAGACAGCGACCCAGTTGCCATCAAAACGTGGGCTGTAACCTCTCTCTTCCTCAAACCACGAAGGGGTCAAAAACTTGGCCTGCCAAACTCTCCCTCTCCCGTTACGTTTTAATCGCGGGCGTAGACACGTGGTTCATTCTAAGGGTCCTTCGTGCTCGCCCAAAAATCAGGGGGTAGTCTACATCGTGTTCAACAGCCCCCGGAACAGATGCCTGCAAGCAAGAACTTCAAACAAAATCTCATGAAAGATGCTGAAATCTCGACAACAAGTTCGGAAGTACGAAGGGGTACGTTTTAACCCCACCTCCTCCCGTCACCATTGGAAGAGGGCTGAAAAGGCGGGAAGTGATATCGATAAAATACATAGATTAGGGAAGACATTTTCTATCCACCTCTGGCAAAGTAGGAAGGAACGATTGGCAATCGGTGGTCGGTCCTGTGGGAACAATGCTCCGTCCTCTCGAGGACGCGTGGTCAGTTGTCTAACCGCCAAGGCATGCGAAACGTAAGATAACCCCCCCCCCCCCCCCCCCCCCC